CATTTTGGATCATATAATTCTTTGTTATGGGGAGCTGTCTTATACTGGATGTCCTATGCAGGATAAAGATTAATGATTCAGTTGGAAAGTAACCATAGAAAAAGCTCCCAGTGGAAAGGGTTCCAGAAAAATCAGAATTTCCTCAAAGAGGTTAATTAGTGTAATAATACTATAGGATGTTTACCATGTCTCTGGCTTCTACCTGTCAGATGCCAGCAGTATCTCCCTTTCGCACAGCTGTGGTAACCAGCAACCTGTCCACACACTGTCAAATGATCTCTGCGAGGCAGGAAGGCAAAATCACCCTTGTTGGATACCACTGCCCTAAAGGATCAATTTTCTCCCTAAGTTGGGCAGAATCTTTTCCATTCCTCGGTGGTAGCATGGTCTACCCTACCCATTCCCGTTCCCACTCTAAAAAACTACACAAGAGAGGGAAGCTTACAAGCTCATCAACATAAAAAAGAATGAGAATTCCATTTTTTCATTATAATACTCAAAGCAGAGAGATATAAATCATGAAAATCTGAAATGAACCTTTTCCTTCAGGATATTTTTATCCTTTGATAATTACAAAATCTGTGACCCCCATCTGTATTACCAGAACTATCTTATTCTCTGTCCACTACACAAGACTAGTGTCAAGAAGAACTGTCTACACTGCTATATTCAAAATGGATAACCAATGAGGATCTATTGTATAGCACATGGAACTCTGTTCAATGTTATATGCCAGTCTGGATGGAAGAGAGGTTTGGAGGAGAATGGATACATGTGTACACAAGGCTGAATCCCTTCGCTATTCACTTGAAACTACCACAACGTTGTTAATTGGATATATCCCAATACAAAATTAAAAGTTGAAAGAAAAAAGGGGGGCTGATAAGATTCAGAAAGATGTCTCCAATTTAATCAATGCTTACGTGAGTGAACCAAGAAAGGCATTCAGTTCAGTTCAGTTCAGTCACTCAGTCGTGTCCAACTCTTTGCAACCCCACGGACTGCAGCACGCCAGGCTGCCCTGTCCATCACCAACTCTTAGTTGAGATAAATAATCAAGACACTTTGTTATGCATCAAAATTAGGTTATTTTTATAATCAGAGAGATAAAAGAATGGACTGCTAACATCTTGACTTGTACAAACCAAACTCTTTTCCTTCCCTTCCCTCTGTGTTTTCTTTCCTTCTTTCTTTCTTCTCTCCCTTCTTTTCTTCCTCCCTCCATTTCTTCCTCCCTTCTTTACTTTCTCTTTTCTTGTAGGTAGACCCATGTTTTTCTCCAGAATAGAAAAGAATATGAGGACAGAGATTATGAAGTATTAACCACGAAAGAAACCCTCACTGGAAGGAAAATTATATTTATGAGTTTACAAGCATTTTAAAGTGCAGCATCAACACTTTATCAAGAATATAAAATGTGCAAATGGTGCAACTGAGTCATCAATGAAACTGCAAAACAGACTCAGAGGCCCAGAAAGTGACAATTTCTATTTCTCTTGACTTCTGATCATTACTATAAGATCTGTAGGGAAAAGATTCCTTTTAGAGTTGAAGTTAATGAGGTGAAACAATCTATAGAAAGGCAGTTTAGCTACTGAACATTATAAATTCAATCATGCAATTCTAGATAAAATACAAATCTTTTCTCCTTACTTGTTTTTGTGTGGTTACAAATTGAACAAATGGTGAACAACATAAGAACTAAGAATAAGAAGTCTTATCTCTGACCCCCTTTTGCCTTCCACTAACTGTATGACCAAAGGAAGGCAATTAATCTCTCTGAGCCTCAATTTCCTCATTGATGGAAGTTAGGAGATTGGACTAGATTATCCTCAAGAATTTTTCCATCTCTAAAATCTCATCATGAGGAAACTCTAACTCAAATTATCTGAAAGTGACAGAAAGAAAAACAAAACAAAACAATGTGCAATTCTACCAACTATGGAAGGTGAATACTCTGTATTGTACATAATTTCTATGCCAGAACTACAGGGTTATAAAAGCAAAAAAGGCTACTTTAATTGATCAAAGCCCTTGACTTTAAAGTAACACATATTGCCTTGGATTCTCCTTTAAATTAGAATGTCTAAGATCTGTTTTCGGATAGGGTAAGCACGTTTGGGTGTCTGCTGGGTTCAGGGTCGACAATGTCACCTGTCACACTATGGCAGATGCTCTTCACTAGGAAACAGAGGCCGGGATACAGAAGAAAACAAATTCAGAACTTCAAGAGCTCACTCACAAACATCAAAGAAAAGCTCTGCAGTGGTGTCGACATTTATTCTGGAAGGTCTACTCCTGCAAGTATGTGAATGTCTGTTTCTAAAATTCAGGGAAAATAAACCTGCATCTTCGCAGAGAAACGAAGTCCTACTCTGGTCTTAGGAGAGCTCTTGAAAAAGTACGGCTGTGCTGCTTTCAGCCATGAGGCAAACCCACATCAGAGAGGAGTCATTTCTTCAAGTCTTCTGTACAGATGCTAATATGAAAGGGTGGAGTAAAAGATTCACAAAGGGAGAATTTTAAAATGTATTCCTTTACAGGAATCCTAAATATGTGCTGGCCCCGCATGGTAAAGCATAAAATGTTTTGCCAAAGATCATCTGACTCTGGAGGACAAAATAAAATTCACCCATATTCCCAAGAAAATCTAACTTTTATGTATGGATGTAAATTCTCAAATTTGCAGACCTATTCATGTGGTGGTAGTTTAGTCACTAAGTCGTGTCCGACTCTTGCGACCCCATGGACTGCAGCCGGCAAGCCTCCTCTGTCCATGGGATTCTTACTCGTAGTAGATAGAAATTTCAGAGGCAAGAAAGTCTCTTTTAAATGGAAGCATAGAAATAGCTTGCTGGAAATGCTGGTGCATCAATAAAGAAACACATTCTAGTATCTGCCAGATAGTGAAATCCCTGGCAAAAAATCATGGCCTCGATAGCTTTTCCTAAGATGATTTCAACCTTCCTTGGTATCCCAACAAAGGGCCACTTCATTTTTATCATTAGCTACTTTGAAATCTTAAGGGAAATTCTCCCTAAGTAGTCAAAAAAAAAAAAAAGTAATTTTTGGGATTTTATTTGGAAAGAAAATATACCGGGAGAGGTAGCGCCAAAGAAGGAGATGCCCTGTAAAGGATGGCAGCTGAACTAGCCCTAGGATTTACAGCCAACAAACAGAGAGGCTCAGGATGGAAATGAACCTCTTGAAAATACCCTCCCCGAAGAAACACTCCTCATTCAACACTATGTCAAATTCTGTGCTGTGTATTCTTCCTTACTTATCTCTAACACTTTTTAAGATTGTGAGAAAAACAAAAAGGATCACTAGAAAGTACAAAAATGTACAAAGCTTTTTAAGTCTCTAATGACAAAAAATTAGCAGACTCCTTGAAAATTGCTAACACTGATTTTTAATGAGCACATCTTGAAATATCACTCTCTGAATAGTTTTATCTTAGACAGTTTTGTTATTTATTACATGGGAACTCAGACTTTACTGATATTATCAATATTATAGCAAACTGTTTCTTTTATTCTTCATATATTTAATAAGACTTGTTTTTTTATATTCCCTTTTTTACGTTGAAAAATCTCTCTGTAGTACAGCATCAGGATACTTTGGCGCTCAGTGTGATTGTATTTTTTATAAAGAGAAAGTGCAGAATTGTTTCCATAATATGGAAATGCTTAGGACGAACTAACAAAAAAGCAAGAATCTGTAAATCCATTGGCAATTCTATATTAAATATATTTCTACCTTCAGAATATCTTTGGTTATTCTCCATAGATTAAGAAGGCACTTCCCATTACAATTTATTTTCATTGTTCTGTTTTATAGACACTATGAATTTAGAGGAAGGACCTTCCCTTTGCACTAACTAATAAACAGGATACCAAGTACAGATGGTCCTCACTTTCAATGGTCCAATAAATGATTTTTTTGACCTCATGGTGGTGTAAAAATGATATACATTCAGTAGTAAATAAACTTCTGATTTGATCTTTTCCCAGGCTAGCTATATGCAGCATGATACTTTTGTGATTCTGAGCAGCAGTAGAGAGCCAATGTAAACAACCAATACATTTATAGCCATGCTGTTTTTCACTTTCATCATAGTATTCAATAAATTACATGAGACAGTCAACATTTTATTATAAAAGAGGCTTTGTGTTAGTTTAATTTTCACACCTTTAGGATAATGTAAGTGTCCTGAACACATTTAAGGTAGGCTAGGCTAAGCTGTGATGTTTGAAGGCTTAGATGCATTAAATACATTAACAACTTAAGAAATTTTCAATTTATGCAGACATAACCACACTGCTAAGTCAAGAAAGATCTGGAGTATGCAGTATTATCACAATAATGAAGACTTGGAAGAATACACATTAACAAAGGCAACATTTTTATTATAGATTTTGTATTTTTACCAGGAAGTATTATAGAGTCCTTCCCTGGAAACTTAGTGTTGTTTATACGCCCACCCAATAAAAATTACAAGTTGGAGGTAGAGTGAAAATGACAAGATACTTTTTATTAGTAAAAGCATATCTTCTTGATTTGATAGTTAATTCTGAATCTGTTCTAAGGAAAGAACTATCTCCTTGCTCTGGATAAGAAATTTGTATTATAAATGTAAAGATAAACTGAAGAATAAAATCAGTATTATATAACTGTATACTTAAATAATATTTATACTCAACACTAATTTGAATTCTATGGCAAATCTGAGAAACAGCCCTTAAATAGTATTTTCTCTACATGACAGTCAACTTTTGAATAGAGAGATGATGACATAAATAATGTGAGAGGGAGGCGGGAGGGGGGTCAGGATGGGGAACACACATGTAAATCCATGGCTGATTCATGTCAATGCATGGCAAAAACCACTACAATATTGTAAAGTAATTTGCCTCCAACTAATAAAAATAAATGGAAAAAAAAATAAAAGTAAATTTAAGGCATAGGGGTAATTTATTTCACAAATAGCTGGTATTTACCTGTGCATGAATAATCATCAATTCTGATGTATCCAGTTTTGCAGATGCACATGAAGGAACCCGGGGTGTTGACACACATCGTGTTCTCACGACAGTAATGGCGCCCTTCGGCACACTCATCAATGTCTGTGAAGAAAAAGTAGGGCAAAGAGGTCAACCATGGCCAATATTACAGAGTTTTTCTACAATTTTCTTTGGTGGTGAGAGGGCAAAAGTTACTAATTGAGAAGAATTTTTAAAATGTATTCAAAGTATCTCTTTTAATAGAAACCTTTGATGTTGAAATGACAGAAACTATAGTATTTTTTCCTAACAGCTCTTGTTGGAGTTTAAAAGATGTCTTTTTATTTCAACTTGCATCATTCTAAAATATATTTCAAAATATCCAGCCCATTCATCTACCTTGGATAGAATGAGAAAATGAATCAGAACGTAGAGATTGGACTGCCTTAGGCTCTTAGAAGCTTCTATCACTGAGCGTACCATATATTATTTTTTGATTCACTGGCTATTCTGTACACTTGGGGAGGCTCTGAAAGAGGTAAATAAAATATTCAATAAACACCAGAACTTTAAAATCTTCATTTAAAGATATGAAACCAACAACATGTAGTTTATTAGAGATAAAGCTATCCCAGTAAGTGTTGAACAGAGATGAAATTACAGTGTAGAGCCTGATATAAATAAGAAGCTGTAAAACAGCAAAATAAGACAATATACTGAAGAACTTTCATACTAATTCATATTCTAAGCATTGTTTACTTGGAATTGCTTAATGTGTCTGAAGAAACTATTAATGCTCTAAGGATTTAGTGCAAACTAATAATCTAATTTTGGTCTCTTATAATGAGGTTAAGGCTAAGGCTAGAGGTCACTATTCATTTATTCCCTCTTCCAGTGATATTTATGTTCCTCTTCCTTGTTCCAAGCATTGTTCTGGGGTTTACTGATGAAAACAGAAGGGCATGGGTAAGGTATGACGTGTCTTCAAGGATCTCCCGTCTCGAAGGAAAGTAGAGCAAAGAATCACAGTGAGTGTGGCACGCTGACAATAAAGAATGGCACAAGGTGGTGGACAAGGCCTGGGACAGGACCCTGAATCTCAGCCCCGCACTGCTGTTGCTAGGATGTTGGGGGAAGCCCCACATGCTTCTGTGAGAGAGGACTTACGAGTTCTTGGGAAAAATAATGCTTCACTGATCTGAGAAACTTTACAACTTAAAGAGCTTTATTAAAGCAGAGTATTTATGCTTTTCTCATGTGGCTCAGCTGGTAAAGAATCTGCCTGCAATGTGGGAGACCTGGGTTCGATTCCTGGGTTGGGAAGATCCCTGGGAGAAGGGAACAGCTACCTACTCCAGTATTCTGGCCTGGAGAACTCCATGGACAGTATATAGTCCATGGGGTCACAAACAGTTGGACACGACTGAGCCACTTTCACTCACTTTCACTCACTTTCACATAGACCATGAAGTTTCAAGCATTTATTAGCAATCACTAATCTGTCTGTCAAAAATAATAACTAAATGCATACATGCTGTTTAGTTCACAATAGGCTGGACTTCACATGCAATTCCTCAAAGAACTCAAATAACCTGTTGAGGTAGATAGAATGAGCTTAACTATTACCTCCATTTTTCAGATGAGAGATCTGAGGCACAGAAAGGTTAAAAGACTTTCCTTAAGTCACAGAGATAATTAATTGGCAGATCAAAGCATATGAACCTAGGTCTTTTGAACTGCTCTGACCACAAGCTTTCTTAAGTCTGTATTATAATGAAAGAAACATCTTAGTTTAGTCCACAGGTAAACTTTGCTGGTCATAACCTCCTGCCAGGGACTCTGGTCCCTTGGATCCTGCCATATCTCACTGCATATTTCATGTATACTTCTGATTATTCTTTCTCTGACTCCAAGGAGCTCTTCTTCCTCTACCTGCCAGGTGAACGCTGGTGTCTCCTGGGATCTGTCTCTGACCTGTTTTCTCTCTCTCCACTCTGTGCAATTATATACACTGTTATGGCATCATGACCACATATGAAGTGACATTTCCTTAAAACATTTTATTTTATATTGGAGTAGAGCTGATTAACAATGCTGTATAGTTTCAGGTGGACCGCAGTGGGGCTCAGCCATACATATACACATATCCATTCTCCACCAAACCCGCTTCGATCCAGGCTGCCACATAACAGCGAGCAGCGTTTCCTGTGCTATACAGTAGGACCTTGTCACACACCAAGTTTTGAGTGAAGAAACTTGCAAGTGCAAAGCCATAATAAGCACTAGTACTAATTGGGAGGAATGTGAATTTTAACAATAAAACTGCCCCCATTTTATAGTTTCTCTCTGCATGGAACATAAAGCATTTTACAGGTATTTTATCATTATGTAGCACTCTTTATTAAGGGCCTTAATGCATTGATCAGGCAAGGTGCTTCTCCTACAGAAGTCTACTTTCTCAAATCCTTGTGATAAAGCCACAAAGTAACACTGACCTCATCTGTACTATTAAAAGAAATGGATCAATTATAGGAGAGAACTAGATGATCCAGTACTACAAAAGTCATGCCATTCATATAAACTCAACTATGCTTCCTGAGAGTGTCAAAAGAAGCAGCTGACACAGTCTCTCAGGCAGCTATATTTTACAGCTAGAGGACCACTGGCAATCATCTGGGCTAACCACTTATTTTACAGGTGAAAAAACTGAAGTTTAGAGAGACTCAATTTTCCATGCAACTTCTAAATGAAAGTCAACACAGTAAATTACAAGCAGCATACAAAGCCCTTCCCAGTTTGGCCATTATCTTTCTGACTTTACATTCTATGACCTCACTCTTTCTTCATTCTCAGTGTTCTGGCCACACCGAGCTTTCAGTCATTTCTTGAAGGGGCCACGCTCTTTCATATTTAGGTGCTTTTGCACATGTCATTCTCCAGTCTCCTTCTCCCCCTATCAACACCTCAGTGGATCTTGTCTACCAACCGATTCATCCTTCAAGAATCTGTTTATCTCACTGTGAAAACTTCCCTAATGAAGTAAAATGTTCCCTATGTAATACTCTCTTGGAACTTTGCAAATGTTTCCATTAAAGATATATCCACTTTACCTTTATTAATTTTTGTAGGTTTCTTTTTTCTAATAAGTCAAACATATTCCTGAAGGGCAGGGATCATCTATCTATTTGTGTTTCTTAACTCTGGCTACACAATATACTTAACTGAGATGCTTTTAAAAACCACTGGTTTTTGTGCTGACTTCCTAACTCTCACTCCAAATTCTTACTTAATTATCTGTAATGGAACACACACATAATATTATTTTTAATCTTCTCTTTGAAGAATTTAATGTAAGATGTAGGGTTCAGCAACATTTTTCAGTAAAGAACCAGATAGTAAACATTTTAGGCTTTGGAGGTCCATATGATCTCTATTGCAACTACTTAACTCCTGTTGTTGCAGCATGAAGACAACCATAGACAATATGTAAATGAATGAGCCTGACAATGTTCCAATAAAGCTTTATTTATAAAATAGGAAAGTGAATCAGATTTGGCCCACAGGCCATAGTTTGATAACCCCTTGTTTAATGCATCAGAGTTAAGGATCACTCAGAAGAACCATGATGGCAAAGTAGCAGGGCATGAGGCGAACCTCCCCCAACAAACACATTAAAAATACATCTATATACAGGAATTTTCACAGTCAACTAGAAACTGAAGAAGATCTCTTACACAACCAAAGCTGCAGGAAAGCTCTCCACATAATGAGGTTGGACAGAAAAGAAAAAGAAAAAGGCGTTAGGACAGTACTGGCATCTCCGAGAAGATCTGGAAAGGACAGAAAGTCCACATGTAGCCCCTTGTCCAGGAGGACCCCTTTCCAGCTAAGAGGTCAGCTGGCACTAGAAGGGCCTGGACTTTGCTCATGAGGAGTGTGTGCATGCTGGCTTGCTAGCAATCATGGAGGAGAGAGACAGAACAGACGGCTGCCCCTTCACCACTGTCCCAAATGCCTGAAACGTGTGCCAGGCAGGGCTGCTAGCACTCCATGACTAGGTGTTAAATCCCAGTCAGAAGGGCACTTGGAGGGAACTCAGCCTAGCTGCACGGAGACAGCCCAGGGGCCCTGGAGAGCAGTTCAGGTGGACCCTTAAAGCCCACCGTCAGCACAGTATGCACATGGCAGGTGTGGGGCTGGCACTGGCGCCATCATCAGTGCTCACAGAGGTGGCGCTGGGTCCAGTTGTGGCACACGGTGGGCTCACATATGAAGGGGGCAGGTCTGGCCTTGAAGCCCATCATAAGAGCTCATAGGGTGAGGAGAGGTCTGGTTGCAGTGGACTTTGTCAGGTGGCACCAGATAAACGCATGCCTTGAGTGGACAGCGCCTGGGGAGGAGTATATAGCACTCATTTCCAGATAGAGCCTTCTGGTTCCACCCATATCATCACACAGTTTGCAGCCAGATCTGGGGCACACAGGACCTGGGGGAGGTCTACCACAGAGTCAGTCAAGACTCCAGGAAGCAGCATAACCACCTTGATTCCTGAAGCCAGAGCATCCTATCCCCCAGCACCAACCTACTCCACACCACAGCCTAGAACTAGGTCTGGGGCAAAAAGTGGAGAAAGGGATGCAACCTTGGGCTACTTCTGGGCAAAACCATGGATGCTTACATGGGCAGCACATAGGTTCACTGAGTCTCATACTTTACAGGTCACATCCTTTGGGACAGAGCAAACATTGAAGGCAACAAAGCAAACATTTAAGGCAACAGAGCCTTATTGAACCTGGTTCTCAGGGCTTCTACTCCAAAATCTGGGGAGCAGATCCTGCCCCTGACAGGGCTCTGACAGCCACAGGGTAAAGAGGCTTGTCCAACATCATTGCAGTCTCTGGACACTGCAATATCAGTTACAACCCCTATCAAAGGGATAATGGCCAACATAACCTAAGAAAGGATGTGCTTGGCATCCATATCAAAAACAGCCCTTCCAACAAAAATACTGGAATAATGCAGCTCACACAGGGATGATCCCACAGGAAAACAACCCTTTGGGATCACAGTGGATAATGGTTTATCCTAAATTCATAGAAATACAGAAAGTTAAGCAAAATGAA